AATATCGGTGTTTTCTTATTCTCCCGGTGACCTTAATATCGGGGTGTCCGTAATATCGGGGTGTTCGTTATATCGGGGTGTTCGTAATATCGGGGTGTCCGTAACTCCTGGTAATATCGGTGTTTTCTTATTCTCCCGGTGACCTTAATATCGGGGTGTCTGTAATATCGGGGTGTCCGTATTATCGGGATGACCCTAATACCAGGGTGTCCGTAATATCGGAGTGTCCGTAATATCGGGGAGTCCCTAATACCGGGCTATCCGTGATATCGAGTGTCTCAAGTGTAACGGCATTCATTTCTTCAGATTCTCAAGGGAAGAACGCTTTTAGGATCCTGGCTGCCAAGCACGAGATCGATGTACCCCTGGACCGTCTCTTCCCGCCACACCCTCAKAAGGAAAAGAARCTGSTTCCCTTTCGTGAGCTGTTGTCTTTAGCCCGAGCGAATTTGCGTGTCGTAGTGGTATTTGCACCAGTCTGGGCCGTCAAAGAACTTTTGTTCTTCGCACGAAGAACCAAAGGCCTCGTACTTGAAGAATGGGCATGGATCTTCTCAGATCTCGGGAATAATGACGTACGTTTCGGGCTATCATAGTATTTTATATAGGCGAATAGTTTGTTTACATTTTGGTTCATTAACATATCATTAGCATAAACATATAACGTTTTAACTATCAGAAAATCAAACTGAATATTGAAACAACATTTATTTTTTGGCATTTTATGAAAAGTTCTCTTGACTCCCTCGACGATAATTCCTGAATAGGTATGACAAAGACAACTTTTCTCTTTGATGTCTTCCTTGCTGAGCAWTTTTCTCCATCTATTGTGATCACGTGGGAATGTTATGACCTAGCCAAAGCCTCGCTTTGGTTCTGCAGAACCTACATCTTGAGAAAAGGCCATTAAGACAGAGAGCACTGAAAAAACTAGAAAAAACACGAACGTATAAGATTGTGGTCTGCACCACACATTGTTTATTCACGACTTTCAACAATGGAACGATATGTCACGGTCGCCGACCAGGGCACTGGGGACGAAGCACTAAAACGAGGTCTCAAAGGCCAGCCCCCGTATAGTTAACTTCGATGTTTTTTTGCAAGAGTGTTTTGTTATAAATAACATACTAATACATCTTTGAAACTTTGAAACACTACATACAGTGATTTCTAGATTGAAAGCCTTTGAGGTCTCGTTTCCATGATTCGTCACTAGTCCCCCGATATTAGCGCTCATGAACTATCGCCATTTTTGAAAGTCGTGCATTAGATGACACAGGCAAGTGATGTTTTATTTTACATTAGAAAGAATTGATGGGTCCCGTCCGTGTCACTCCACCAGACATGAGAGGACTTATTGGCTTACGAACGGCCATTGGCAACCCAAAGGCATTCTCAGTCTTACAAGAAACGTTTGATAAGAAGACGCAAACGTTTAATCGGACTACTAAGATAACAGTGAGTTATAATTATCAATATCGTTTTATTATAAAAACTTCAATGAAATACCAGGAAATCTCTAGCGCGAAAAAGTGATATCTTTCACATCTGACAGAAGTACTTCTGACATCTGAGAGTAACACGTTACTATGGAAACTCCAAACAAAATTGTTCTATTTTTTAGATCATAGAATCCTTGCATGTGACGTCATAGAAGATTCAACAAAACACTTTTGCCCTTTATTTTTTTGTCCTCCAGTTGGAGTTGTATTCCCATGAACTGCAAGGGGTCTATAGATATAAATCTGAGTTTATATAATATACTCTAATTGATCGTTTTCAACTATTCCCATGAGATTCACAAGATAAAAGACCGGCGGCCATGTTAGAGGAATGAGGAATAGATACTAATGAGAAATCCTTTGTTAAACTTCCTTCAAGATGGCGGCTTTGACGTAACTTGAAAACGAAAAATATACGCTGATTTAAAGCTGACGGATTAGAATGACGGATTGAAGTGGGCCTGCTCTGCTCTGTTTTTCTCTGCTCTCGTCTGCTCTACTCTCCTTTCCTTTGCTCTTCTTTTTTTCATTCTTATTCTCTTTTTTTTTTCAAGCCGTCAGCTGGCTACGTGTATGACTCGGTTCTTATGGCAGCCAAAGGAATCCAGAACGCTTTAAAAGAAAACATACAGTTGTCAATATCGGGGTCCTCATCTCCAGGGATTTGTTTATCCAACGAGCCAAGCAAGAAGAAAACAAATGGTCTCTATGACATGATCAAAAAGGTATCTCCAAACATCGTTTCTTTACKTAATCGCTATCACTTTACGTAACCGTGATTTGTCAACGTAACTGCGGTAACTTTACGTAACCGCGATGCAGGCGGGTGTTTACAATCATTCATAAAGGGTGTTTAGAATAACGTGGGTTCCACCCTTGTAGGTGATCACCCAAACTAGCGAGGTGTCCAAACTAGGTAGGTGTCCAGAATAGCTGGGTATCCGAACTANTAGCTGTGTGTCCAAACTAGCTGTGTGTCCAAACTAGCTATGTGTCCAAACTAGCTGTGTGTCCCTTCTAGCTGAATTTTCAAAATAGCTGGGTGTCCAACATAGCTGTGTGTCCAAAATAGCTGTGTGTCCAAACTAGCTGTGTGTCCAAACTAGCTATGTGTCCAAACTAGCTGTGTGTCCCTTCTAGCTGAATTTTCAAAAGAGCTGAGTGTCTGAAGTACTCTGGGTGTCTAAACTAGCTGTGTGTCAGCACTAGGAGGCTATCCAAAATCTCTTACTAGCTGGGGTGTTCTTATCTGCGAGAGTTCCTTAATAATAATAACTGTTGTTTCCAGGCAACCAGTAAAGATGGAGTCATGAACAGTGACTTGAAATTCGAAGAGACAGGAGAACCAAGAAGCGCCACGTATGATGTTGTCAATGTAAGGACTTCCGGTTCCGTCAAGGTTAGTGTCTAGTCTCTCTCGAATCSTCGTTTCCAGGTGAAATTCCTTTCCCCTTTTGATGACTTCCATTGTCTTTATATCAGGAGAAGGCACAGACACGCGTGGTCGTTCTATATCTTAATACGCCTTTTTTCCAGTTCAAAGCTAATTAGCTGACAACAGTCTCATGCGTAAAGACCTTACCAAAAACAAAAGAAACCACGAAAAAATGRTGTCACTGCAATAGCCCTACAAATTGCATTTTCTCCGATTTGAGGTTAAGCCTGTGTTCCCAGAAGGCTCAAACTCTAGGTCTTGTGGGAATACAAGCTTATCCTCAAATCGGAGAAGATTCAAATTTCTAGAGCTATTGTATTGTCAACATTTTTTCGTGCTTTCTTTAGTTCTCTACGCAAGTGAGTCTGTTGTCTACTATAACAGCGGTCGCTCGCATTGAAGGGGAAAAAGGCTTATATTCCATTTAACAGTTCTGAACGCCATCTTGAAAGGTAGCCAAGTCTTTGGGTGCAGTGAGAGATACCTGTGAATAATGTCCCTAGGTATCTATCACTGCAGGCTCAACTGGTGTCTCGTTTTGATGCAAAGGCTTGGTTACCTTTCAAGATGGCGCTGGGAGCAATAAAATGGATTATTGAGGGAAGAGCTTCATTGTTCTCTCTTAGGTTGCTGAGTGGAATATTTCCAAGAACAAGCGTCTTACCACGCTTAATGGCACCGATGTTGTGTGGATGTCCGGCAACAACAAGATACCATTTGACATACCAAACTACCTTAAAAACAAAACCGTTAAYGTGGTATCTGTCTTGGTAGGTAACGCTACACATTGATGATGTAGTGATACAATTTTGGGCAATCACCTTGGGACTTTCTAAAATGGTACCTTAAAGAATCCCAACCAACCACAATACAGCGCGCGCTATTGTTTACATACGTTTAAATGCGTCAAGCATACAATAGATTTTAATGTTGGAAACTA